TGGGGTGGTGTAGGTGCTAAAGCACATTGTTGACAACCCAGAGGTCACAAGCTTGTGGTCACAAAAGAAGCACTTGTGGCAGGGCCATGTCAGATTCCAACAAATCTGTGAATTCTGCTAAATACCTTATCCCAAGGACATGAAAAGAGGAATATTTGCAATACTTCACCCATCTTCTTGTAATTCAGGAAGTGTCTTGAGTGTCTCTCCATGTGCATAGGTCCCATATGCTTATGGTATCCTAAATACCACTACACTGCACAACATAAAAGTACTTTTAGTGATTTCAAGTTTGAATCCTAAAGTCAAAGTAAAACCCAGGGGCAAAGCAAAAAAACGCATCTCTAAGGCTGCAGACAGACCTTGCATTTGTCCTAAAAGAAACCATTTTCTAATGACACAATTATTCAGATGGCCTGGGATAAACCCTAAAAAGGTTCATGGGATACCTTGCAAAGTGTTTCTGAATAGTTGCCTTGGGATGGCATTATTGAATCAATCGCAGGGGAGTATCAGTGCATTCAGGAGCTCACTAAACCCCAATTAGAAGGGGGATGTGTATACACACCAATCCTGGGACTTTTCTGTTCTAGAACAAACATGGGCACAGTTGGTCCCAGGACAGAGGCAATCTCTGTTGCCTAAAAGCTTGACAGTTTGACACATCCACATTTTCACAGATGTACCAAAGGTAGGGTTCATTTACAGGAAGGTACCACTGAGTCAGGTACACAGATACCAGGAGATGCATTTGAACCTTCTCTGCACTGTACTGAAAATGGAGTCAAAGTTACTGGAAGATAGAAAAGAGAGATTATTCCTTATTCCCATTTATTAACTATATGTCACCATTCCCTTACTTATGTTGAGTAATGCCATTTTTCTGTGCAGTAAAGTATGACTCACTGGGTGCATCTACATATGCCATTAAGGCAACGTGATAAACTCCAACACAAACTATGCCAGAGTTTATCACAGTGCCTTACTGGCATGTATAGATGCTCAAACTGTTACGGTCCAGGGTGTACATGCAGATGTGATGCCTAGGACCGCAGGAGTTTGAGCTGAGGCAGAACAGCCCCAGGATGGCAAGGGACCTAGGGGGTCAGTCCCAGGCTCTGGGAAACAGCATCAGGTGGCAAAGGAGCTGCTGGGGCACAAGAGTGCCCTAGTGTGTGGAGGCCTGTGGCAAGGTGGCAGGCAGGGGTCTGACCCCCTACTGCCTGGGCTGACTGGGTACACTGTATGCCCAGGTCAGTATTTACATTTGCATTTAGGCACAATTATTTTCTCCGCAGTAAGATAGTCCTGTCCCCAACAGTACTACCTTACTGCGGTGAAACTTAACTTCCTGCAGTCTAATAGCATTGCATGTGTAGACTGTGACACTTTACACTGCAGCAAATTAGTCTACTGAGCAGTTAAGTGCATGTGTAGATGCACCCAGTGCAAATAAGGATAGGAGAGTTTGGCTTCATGTGAGTGCATGTGAGAACATGTTTGAAGATTGAGGGGGGGAGGGGTAGAAGGGTAAGACACTTGTAGTACAGCTTATTAAAAAAATCTCCTAGACACAAAGAAAGCAAAACTGTCTTGTAAATATCATGTGTGTGTTATACAAAAAAAAGGTTTCATACTATATGCCCAAGAGTTTGAATTTATACCAGCAGTTGCTAGTGAGATGGTTACTAGATTATAAACTGATACATACATAATGTCCTTGGGATTTGTCCAAATATTAGTTACCATATATTGAAAATATTGAAAGCCTTTTATTTTCAATATTTTGAAGTATTTCAGTGCCTTTTTTTCAAAGATCTCAATATACTGTATAACCCTAGAAAGAAAACATCTCTTCTGATTTCATGCCAGATTTATTCCCTGAATACAACCTAACTGTGGGTGGTGTTCTCTCCATACAAACACTGCTAAATATACACTTTCAGTATACATGTGAAGACTTAATATTAGTTTCCCTGCCTGATTTAAAAGGAGAAACAGATCACAGAGTGATTAAACTTATTCCCATGAGGACACATTATGGTCTAAACTTTCTGAACCAGAGACTTCCTTCTGAGGGGGTAGATGTGCACCTGAATTTTTGCCAAAAATAAAACCCTGATCTGTATTTTAACTGTTGTGCCATCTTTCAAGTCCCAAGGCTGCTCTCAGTGAGAACTTCAGTAATCTCGCTGTATAATTAGGTCCATTCTAACAAACATCATTTAATGGGTTACACTTAAAAAATAACTCTGGAGAAGGAAGGTTAATGATAAATACTATGTTTATGCAAAACTAGAGAAAAATCTCTTTTAAATAATTCAGAAGAACCAATTTAGCTCTCAGTGGACTGAATAGGGAGACATTAAAATGATCCTGAGAAGAATAGCTTTTTAAAAAGCTGTTGGAAGTTTGCATGAAACATTAATCTGCGAGTTATAAATGTATGGACAGGTAATGTAACTCCTACAGTCACACACTTCTGTGATGTATATAACCTTGTTTGGTTTCCTTCAGTAAGCAGAAAATATAAACTTTGTACTTTCTCCATCTGGTAGAAGATGCACCTATGGGATTAATAACATAATTCCCTTTAGGCCATGTATGCTGGTTGTGTTATGGGTGTCAGCTCTACTAGCAATGTAGATGAGTATAATTATAAATTGATGATATCTGGGCATGAAATACAAGATGTTGCATTATCAATGCTTCAGGATACAGGAGTGGTAGCCAATTTTATTGCTATTAATTGCTTTATGGTAGTGCTTTTGAGGCCTAAAATATACAGAAGACATTTGTAGTGCATGGTTATAAAAGTGTCTTTGAGGGTTATAACCTTGTGGCAGGGCACTGTTTGTGCCTGACACTTCAAGGGGCCAGAAGACATCAGCCAGCAGGTGCCTGATTAGGGCAGCCATTTTAGATTCAGGGCTGCCCATATAAACAGGGCATTTTGCTGCTAGGAGGCTAGGCAACAACATTGCCTGGCTACAGGTGTCATCTGGAGGTAAGAGAGGAGCTGTAGGGGATGGTTTGGAGGCTCCTGGTCCTGGGCATAACCTAAAGCTGCACCCTGCTGGAAGTGGGTAGCCTGGTGGGGCTCTTGGTGCCATGGGAGCCCCCAGGAAATGTCAAGCCAGTTACCACCCCAATGAAAGGTGGTTTGGGGTACCTTAACCCCTCACCTCCACAACTGGGTGGGTTACCCCCTTTGTAGGGTCTGGAAGGTGGACCCCCAGAGAGAGAGAGAGGGGCCATAGACTCACACCTGTCATGGACATCCTGTGACTAGTCAATGCTGGGGCCAAAACTGGAAAGGTTAAAAGTGCCAGGGGCCCACCATGAGGAACGCCCAAGAGCTGAGGGCCTAGGGTTCTGACTGGCCTGGAGGTGGGCCAGGGCTAGTAGCCAAGAGTCCTGGGGGGGGGGAGGGGGGAACCACACCTGTAAGGGGGAAGGAGTTCAGGGAGCTATGCTGCCTAGGATTAAAGGTGGAGTAGGCCGCTTAAGGAGAGGAATCCAGGCAGGGTTCAAATAGTAGGATTCTGGGGCCCATGTGGGGCCAGTGATGTTGGTAACATCTGGATGCTATCTGCGAGGCTTGGGCTGCAGTGTAGGGGAGGAACAGAGCTGCAGATAGCACACCCTGGCATCAGGGCAGGAAATGGCCTCCTTCCACTTAACATCAATTAAATAACTAACATCAAGGCGTGGTGGGAGAGAAGGTGGGCAGGCCATTGGGAAGTCTACTTCAAGAAGGCCCCCTGTTACAAACCTAAATAGGAACAATATGCATTGGGTGGAATACAAGGGTATCAATAATAAGAAAATCAAGGCTATTTATACTGGCAAATGTAACATGGAGGCTTCTTAGTATTCTTTAATGAGAGAATAGTGAAATGTTAAACAGGCTTCCTGCCTAGCCAGAGAAAATAGTTGTTAATCCTGTAAAACAAATACAGATGCATAAAATGCAAACGAGGATTTCATCCAATTTATCTCATCTCTATTTATTTAGATCCTAAAGTACACCCACAACCATGGTATCTGAGCAATTATTGTTCTGATACTTAAATTTCTCTGTGGAATTGCTATTAACTGATTGAGTGCATCTTCCTTCTGAAGAGATGCCCTTCTACAAAAGCTATTGTTCCACTAAAAAAAACAAAAAACAAAAAAACCCACAACAACACACCCCAAAACTCTATACAAATAAGAGCAAAGTGAATGCCCACATTCCTTTGGTATTTCACCAGACCAAAGGGAAAGTCAAGTGAGATAAGGCTCACAGAGGGCTTGCCGGGAATGAAACCCTCCCCACTGTGGATATTGAGCAGGTGCAATACCAGCTAGAAAAGCTAGACATCTATAAGTCAGCAGGACTGGATGGACTTCATCTGAGAGTGCTGAAGGAGCTGGCTGACGTCATCGTGGAACCCCTGGCAAAGCTCTTTCAGAATTCGTGGCACACAAGGGAAATCCCTGAAGTTTGGAAGAGGGCCAACATTGTGCCCATCTTCAAGAAGAAGGACCTGGGCAACTATAGGCCAATCAGCTTAACCTCTATCCTGGGGGAAAATCCTGGAAAAGCTCATTAAAGAATCTACATGTGATACGGTCACAGAAGGTAAGACTCTGAATGACAGCCAGCATGGCTTTGTCACGGGTAGGTCTCGTCTTACCAATCTCATCTTCTTCTACAACCAGGTCTCTCACCACCTGGACATGAGAGACAAGGTAGAAGTTATATACCTAGACTTCCAAAAGGCTTTTGATCTAGTATCCCACAATATCTTTGTGGGAAAATTGAAAGATTGTGGTCTCAGCTGCTCGACGGTTCAGTGGATGGGAAATTGGCTACAGGGTAGGACCCAGAGAGTTCTCATGAATGGATTTGTGTGTAAAGTGGCCAGTGGTGTCCCTCAGTGGTCCGTGCTTGGACCAGTGCTTTTCAACATCTTTTATCAATGATTTGGATGGAGGAGTGAAAAGCTCACTGGCCAAGTTTGCAGATGACACCAAGTTATGGGGCAGCGTGGTCACGTCAGAAAATAGGTTGCAGATACAGGCAGACCTGGACAGGCTTGAGAGTTGGGCAGACCAGAACCAGATGAAGTTTAATACTTCCAAGTGTAAGGTGCTCCATCTGGGGGCAAACAACCCTCAACTTACATATAGGCTTGGTGGCAACAGCTTGACTTGCACCACAGCCAAAAGGGACCTAGGGGTAATGACTGACCATCACATGAATATGAGCTGTCAGTGCGATGCGGTGGCCAGCAGAGCAAATAACAGGCGGGCGTGCATCAACTGATGCATCTCATGTAAAACTAAGGAAGTAATACTCCCACTGTACTCAGCACTGGTGAGACTGCAGTTGGAGTACTGCATCCAGTTCTGGGTGCCACACTTCAATAAGGATGTGGAAAAACTTGAGAAGGTCCAGAAAAGAGCCACCCATATGATCATGGACTTGAAAGGAAAGCCATACAAGGAAGGGCTGAGGGGCGTGGGCCTCTCTAGCCTAAAGAAGAGAAGGTTGAGAGGAAACGTGATAGCGGCTTACCAGTATATCAGAGGAGTGTGTCAGGAGCTTGGTGAACAACCGTTCACTAGGGCACCCCTGGGGAAGACCAGGAGCAATGGATACAAATTCCCGGAAGGCTGCTTCAGGCTTAATACCAGGAAAAACTCCTTCACAGTCAGGGCGTTCAGACTGTAGAATAAACTCCCTCCAGAGGTGGTGCAGTTACGTACCCCAGTGGTTTTCAAGAGGAGACTGGACAGTCACTGAACAGTTGTCTTCCTACCTAGACTGGGGGCAGGGCTGGACCCAATGATCTGTGAGGTCCCTTCCAAGCTATGAAAAGAGTATGCTTAGGAGTGCAACTTGCAGAACTCAGCAAGAGAGGAAAAAGAACCAAGAAGTTGACTACTTAGAACTAAATAGAAGAATTCCATTTCTTAATCTGGTCTTCTCCCAGTAACCTCTTTTCACATATGCAAAGAAATAAAATATTCCCATGATGAATAAATCTCTTTTCCCCTTAAAGTAGGAAGACATAATTACTCTTGTTAGATTTGTTCTTAATACTTGGGAGGCACCCAGAAGCCTTGGGTGCAAGCGTCATTGGGTGCATGTAACAGGTCGCTCTCCCCAGCACCACCTTCCTGGTCATCTGCGCCTTAAGTGGGGCACGCTTGGAATTCTTCTGTCCCACCCTAATCTTTCCTGCCATGTCTTGATGGAAACTATTATGCAAGCGGGAGACTGCCTGATACGTTGGGGTCTGTCCTAGGATGGCCTGACCCCTCTTTTTTCTAGCTAGGCCTCCCCATCCAAACCCACTAAACAAGGTTTCACTCCAAGGCTCTAGCTTTTCCTTCCAGTGCCTGGAGGCTCATGGACCACTTTTCTGCTCCCTTCTGGAGCATGGCACTCCCTGGCCCAGAGGCATGGGTGCCAGCCCCACAGCCAGGGGGTTGCAAGTTCAAAAGCAGGGTGCAAACTTGCACCCCACCAGTCCAAACAAAAATATACTTGCACCCCAGGTGCACCAGGCCTCCCTGGCCTTCTTAAGATCATCTTTCAAGTGCCTGGGTTTGTGTTGTCCCATACTGGACCCTTACTGGCACTTGGGCTCTTCACAGCCCTGTCTCACTGTGTGCCTCACTGGCACTGGGGCTGTGCCCCCCAAAAAGCTGTGCCCTCACTGGTGCTGGGGTTCCTGCTCTGGAGTGGGTCCCAAAAAATGAGGCCTGCTCCATCCTCCAGTATCCTCACCCAAATCACTTGTGTTATTCAATAATCACCCAAAAAAAAAAATAGCAAAGCAGCAGGTCAGTTTTGACGAACCTATTTCAGGCCTTAGCTCTGCACTATCATCCACAGCCCTGGCTGGGGTGCAGCCACCATCTCTCAGGGGCTTCCGTAGCTTCCCCCCTTCTAGCTGTGGGTCCCTTCCCAAGCTTCTTCATCAAGCTCTCAGAGGCACTGCTTCCCCTTTGGCTGCTGAGCTCCCTACTGCCATTCAACCCAGAGTTTTTATAGTCCTGCCTCTTCTGGTCAGCTGACTAGCTGTCCAGGTTCAGCAGTTAACCCCTTCCTCATCAGCCCTCTGCACCCAGAAAGTTCTGGCCTTAAAGGGGCACACATGCTTCCTTGTAACAGGGTTAGGTTTCCCTGTTACAGTGCATCTACATATGAAGTGAACGTGATACAATAAACTCCAGAGCAATTTTAGCTGAAGTCAGCTGCTCCCAGGCTCAGCATCTATGTGTGTGCCCAGGACAGCAGCAGTTTGAGCTGGGACAGAGTAGCCCTGGGCTGGCAGCAGGCTCAGGGGTTCAGCCCTGGGTTCCAGGTGGTGGCATCAGGCAGTGGAGGGGTTGGCTGGAGGCATGAGTGCTCAATTGTGGAGCCATGTGGCAGGCAGCCTCTGCATTTTAACAACCTCATGCCCCAGCCAGCCCCTATCACTGTCTACAAGTGCATTTTGTCACAATTACTCTGCCATAAGATAGTACTGTTGCTGACAGTACTACAATGGAGTTAATTAATTTACTGTGTCCTAATACCACCACATGTGTAGACAGTGACACTACTACAGAGCTAATTAGTCAACTGCAGTAAAGTGCACATGTAGATGCACCCAGTATGAATTTATGGAGAAACATGACAAGGAAGAAAGAAGCTGTTAAGTATTGTCCAATAAAGGGAGTCTTCTAGGAAGAATATTAAAGAAGCTTTAGTATAGCTGAAGTTCTCAAAGAACAATGCTATATATTACAAGGAAGCACCGCTGTCAATTTGCCAAATGCAGCAATGACGGTCCTATTGATGAATGAAGATAACTGCTAGGGCTGTGCAAAGGTTCGACTTAATATTCGATTCGACAAATATTTGACATATTCGACCTTGAAAAGTGAAAGTCAAGTCGAATAGCAGCTAGTCAAATAGCTGTTGAATCGAATACCAGAAGTTGAATATTAACAGCGCGGGTCAAATATTCAACTTGCCTATACTTTCTTCTCCCCCACCCCCGGGAATCCAGTAAGGGGAGGGAGGGGGAAGGAGTGCTTTCATGACCGATGTGTGGCTGGCCAGTGACCTGTCAGCATTCTCTGAGGTCCCTTCCAACCCCAGTGCTCTGGGGGAGGGCCAGAGGAAGTGCATAAAAGGCAGCAGTTTTTCAGCTCCCCTGCTTTCTGCCTTGGGGTCAGTTTCTGAGCTGCTGGTGTTCTCCCAGCACCTCTGCATCAGACCACGATGGCTGGAAGCCCTGATCTTCAACAGATTCCCTGCTTGCAACACTAGTAACAGGGACTTCTGAGAACTTTGTGCTTTTATTTTATAACTACTTTTCATATTAGTTTACACTTGTATTACATAGTGTTAGTAGTAGCCTAGGATCTATTCTATATATAGGAATTTAGTTTATACATTTTTATACATCATTCATTCTTTCCACCACACCAACGCCTCTCAATATATTATCCACACACACACACACACACACACACACACACACACACACACACACCATCCAGAAATCTAATCCGCGGCACACAACACACTTAGAGGTTCCAGTTTACATACGAAGGAACACATTAGGAAGCGGGGTGGAAAGGCCAGTGGCCACACTGGCCAACCTGCACAAAGGGGAGCAAGGGGGGGTTGCACGCGGGAGAGCTGCAGTTTCTCCCCCCACCAAACTCAGACGCAGCCTCTTTCCTCCCGCTACAAGGGATGAGTGTCATGGGGTGGGGCACGGGAGCAGCTGTGATCCCCCTAGAGCCCCTACCGTGCCAAGTCACCCCCTAGCACCCTCTTCTCGCCCGCCACGTCTTTGATATCCTATAGTATTATTAATGGGAGGCTGCCTTTCCTGGGGTCCCCTGGATGCAGTGCTGAGCTTATCCTGCCCCCTTTGTCTTATGTGCAGTGTTCTGGTGTGCTCCGCCTTATGGGCTATGCATGCCTCCTACCTCCCCTGTAGCACGCCCCAAGCCTCGCAGTTGTACCGGACGTTCTTATGTCTCTGTGTGCCCTATGTACGCACCCCCTTTTCCGGGACCTCTCCGACAAAGGCCCTCTCTGAGTTCCCTAATATGCATGTGCCCTCTCCAGACTCTGTCCCGCGTGCCCTGCCCTCTCCGGGCTCCTACTCATGAGATCACCCTTCTTCCGGCTCTCAAATGGCACGCTCGCCCTGCTGCGGGCCTCCAACTGTGTGCTCGCCCTACTCTGGGCTTTTATGCTGGCCCTCACCCCTTTCTGGGGCTTCCTAGTAGGCTTCCCCCCTCCTTTGAGGCTTATGCCTCATGCTCATCATGCCCCTCGCCCTCTCTGGGGCTTGTCCCAATACACGCTTCTTGCGCCAGGGCTCAGGTGGCCTGTAGCCATGCCTGGCCCCCTTGACCCTTCTTGGGGTCCTTTGCCCTACTGGGCAAAATACTGCCCTCATGGGCAGGGGTCTCAACCCCCACACACTGCGCCACACTGCTGTGCTT